CACACCCAGTACTACCTAACGATCAAAACAAACAAATAATAAATTCTTACATATTACTTTGAAAATGCTGTGGTAGTTCCCCCCCCAAAAGTAAAACACGGGCCTGGGGGTGGGGCTCAGTGCCAGAGCTCAGGCCTAGCCTGTCTGAGGCTCCCGGTTTGATCACAGTGTGGCCCAGTAATTCTCCTCACAGGTGTGTCCTCCACAACCGGGTCAAAACCAAACAACCAAAGTCGTGCCTGCTTATTTCCTAGCAGTGCTTTGGAGCAATCGCCAAGCGCCCACCCACTCTGGACGACTGGTTAAACCGACTGTGGTATATCCATACAATGGAATACTTCTCGGTCATAAATAGGAACGAAGTGCTGACGGCTGCTATACCGTGGGCAAACCCTGCAACCTCATTTGTACACTCCCTGAGGGCAGCGGCAATCAGGTCACCCTTTACCAGACAGTGGGAACTATCTGTGGGACAAAGGAGAGGTCCTGCTCCTCTGCGGTCCACCAATGGCGGATCAGCTGGCGGGTGAGTCATGACTGTCTGACCCTCCACTAACATACCAGGTGGCTTCGGATTTCTATTGGGCCCCACCCACCTCTGGGGCATGCTGGATCTGGATATACGGTAGGTGTAAAGTCCTGGGACATTAACCCCACCGGCCCTTCAGTCTCAAGAATCTCTAGGTCAGGGAGAGACATACCAGGTAGGAGTATCAAGGTACCTATGTCCCGACCTGTTTTTCTTCTTCCTGAGACAGAGCCCCTCTATGTCCTGAACCTCAATATATACACCAGGCTGGGCTCATCAACCTTGCAGCCTATGTGTGCCTCCTGAGTGTTGGGATTGAAACCCAGAGCCAACCACAACTAGCCTATGTCTCTCTTGAAGTGGATCCTCTGCCCATGGCGTTAGTGGTACTGGAGGGTAGGTGCAGCAGCTCTGGTTACCCTGGCCTTAAGTGTGGGGGGCGTGGCATGGTGAACACTGGTCTAACACTGACCAGACCCTGGGGATGCAGCGGCATAGGCAAGCCACGGCACATCAATTATCCCTGAGTCTCTTTTGGAGACTTGAAGGTGACCCACCCTGTCATGGCTGCTGGAACCTACTCCAGCCAGGCCCAGTTCTCTTCTATATAAACAGGCCTTGAGCCCAGAAGAGGGGACACAGGCTGGCCACAGCTGGCCTGGCCTCCTGCAGAGGGTCACTGGGAATTCTGTGTTTCATCAAATATTGCTGGGCTACAGAGTTTTATTTGAAAATAATTTTAATTAGCCGGAAACTAGGAGTTTAATAAATGGAAAACAGAGAACTTTCCAAGGCCACAGCTGGGAAACACTCGCTTTAAAAAAAAAAGAAAAAATTCTGCCCGGCTTCCCAGGCCAGCTGAAGTACCCTGACTGGAGGGCCCCAAGTGCCAGACGAATCCACAAGAAAAACAAAGCTTATTTTTAGAGAAATATTTTAAACTTGGTTTCAATGATCTCAGGAGTTTCCTTCCCAATTGGTCCCGGTTCCTCACATCTTCACTCTATTTCGGGGCGACCTCCCGGGGCGACCAACGAATGGATATCTGACAGAAGCTATTTCTGTCCAGATGAAAATAAGAGGGCCCCACCCTCGGCCCCCAGAGAATGAATTGATGCTAAAAACGTCCCTGCAGACAGCAAGGGGCCCAGGAGGCTTGTCCTTGGCAGGTGTGCCCCTCAATGAAGATGGCTCTGGGGGTCCCTGCAGGCTTGGAGACTGTGGTCACTCTCCTACTCAGCCTCGTCCTGTCCCCGCCCAGCAGGAAGCGGGGCGCAGTCTGGCAGTTGTTTCCGGGTTTTGAAAGCAGTTTTAAACTTAGAAGAGGCTTGCTAAGAAGGGCTGCCTTTCCTTTACAGGTGTTGGTAACACCCACCCCATACAGACACACCCCCACACCCCCGCTGATACACCCAGACCCAAACACAAGCTGTACATACCTCCTCACAAACACACCGAAGGCTCACCCCCACAGCTGCAGTCACAGATACACCCAAACCCACATTCACTCACACACAGCGGGCACAAGGACACGCCCACCAGAGCAACACACACACACATGCACACACACAGCCCCCACATCGTGACACCCATAACCCCAATGTTGAAACACCCACAGACTCCTATACTCTCTAACCCTAAACACATGCCACAAACCCAAACCCACACTCGCACACAGATCCACACACCCCTAATACAGGCAATCCGTACACCATCACAATACATACACACCCACACTCATCAACACCCACAGACCCTTATACTCAGCTGAAGTCCAGAAACAACACACCCACCAATACTTACTTCCTGCATCCATCTCATAAATCACGGACACAGATCAACACCATGAACACCTGTACACCCAGACAGACACGCGGGACTTGCGGGCACAAACCCACCACCTCCCACGAGGGCACACCCTTCACCCTTCCCTCCAGAGGTGCCTCGCCATGCACACCCACTAATGTTCTTGCCCTTTCCAGCTCCTCTGGTCAGAATTTAAAAGAATACCGAAGCTGCCTGCTCTGGCACAACCTTCCTGCCCTGCCTCAACTTCCTTTTTCCTTCTCACCCTCCTCTTTGGCTTGCTAGTAGCTCAGGTCAAGATTTAATCCCAGCAGAGGCAGGAGGGGTCTCTGTGGGTCGGAGGCCAGCCTGGTCTACAGAGCGAGTTGCAGGACAGCCAGGGCTACGCAGAGAAAGCCTGTCTGGAAAAACCACATGAAAAAAGAACTGCCCTGAATGTCCAATGTTCACCCGTCCTCCAGGACAGTAAATACAAAGAAACGAGATTACAGCTGGGCCAATTGTAGAGCACACCTGCAGTCCCGACTCGGCTGGAGGCTGAGGCAGGAGGATCCGCAGTTAGAAAGGCCCTGTCTTGCAAACAAACAGGAGCTTGCCTGGCCTCATTCCAACAGCTGGTCAGCCTGAAAGGGCTGCAGAGACCCAACTTCCGGTTTAGAAAACAACAACAAAAAAAACTGGGTGCAAGTCACATCCGCCTTCGTTCGTCACGGCAAGCCAAGCTGGAGGACAGACAGTGGGCTTCCGAGACCCCCAAGCAGGTTCCGTGTACCCTCCCCCAGGAGCAGAGCCTGGCCCTACCATCCTCCCCAGACCAAGGGCCTTCCAGCCTGGCTCACCATCCTCTGCATCTCCATACAAGTCAGAGCAGGGCTCAGCTGCGTGCTCTTTTACACCCCTAGCAGGAAGACCCAGGCAGCGGGATCCATACTTGAACACACCCTTCTTCTGAAACAGTTGACAAGGTGGGCACGCTAGTCGGGTAGTTTCAAAATCACCCGAGCCGCCAAGCAGTCAGCTGGAAGACCTCTTTGAACAACCAGGCTCTGCAGTCACGGCTGCCCATGGAAGATCCTATCTAGACTCAGCCTGGAGCCTCCGTGGTGGCTAATCCTACTTCGCCCTTACTTCCAAGTTCTCTTATATCCTGGATTTACAAAACACCAAAGCCAGCCTCAGGGAGTGACCAAGGACAGGCGGTCTGCTGCTCACTCTGGCGTCTGCAGAGGCATAGTGACCCAGAGCCTCCATTGATGTGTGTGCGGGTGACAGAACTCAATGACCACCGACCTCCTCGCTGAAACACAAACCGGCAGAGCCGAGCAGTCAGGCTTTCAAATGGCCGCAGTTAAAAAAAAAAAAAAAAAAAAAAGAATGAATGTGGCTAACCCCAAAGAGAAGCCCAACATTCCAGCTGATCAAAAGTGCTTGTTTGGAAAAAAATAAGTTTGGGAATGAAGTGGAAACAAGGTCTTTGAAACGCAGCCGGGCCTAACCAACTCCACGGCGGAGCGGTCTCCTCCCCACGGCACATTCTTTATGGCCAAGAGGCCAGAGGGCTGGCAGGGGCTTCACCCAATCCCAGGGCTTCTGGGCCTCCATTTCCCTCCACCCCCACCGCCTAACATCTGGGAGAACTTTTGAGACTGTTCCCCACTCTGGCAGCAAGCACCAAAAAAAAAAAAAGCTCTCCACACCACCTCCATCCATCGGCCTTAACTAGAAACAGCTGCCCAGCCTGGCGCATCCCTCAGACACCCCCACCACGGGTCCTGCTCAGCTGTGAGTCACAGGAGACCCTGGCCAAGGCCGGGGTAGCCAGAGAGGGGCAAGGATTGGTCGAGAGCCCAGCTGCTATCGATAAGAAAGCACACTGTTGCTGGGTCTCCAGTCTAGGTTGGAAAAGGTGAAGGAGGGTGGGGTGGGGAGGAGAAAAAGCAATCGTCTTAGTTTAAAAGTGGTTTAGAATGCCCTGGGAGAAAACAACAAAATGCACAAGAGACTGTAGTTTGTCTGAGAACCAGGCAAAGCAAGGCAGCCTTGTTTCCCTTCGGTAGAAGCTGGGCTGAATTTGCTTTCTGGCCTCCTCAGCCTTCCTTTTGCATAAATAGCCTGAATGTGCTCGCTCCCAGAGGAAGTTGTCTGTGTAAACAAACATCACCCAGATAGAAGTTTAACCCGCTTAATCTCCCTCCCTCCCTCCCTCTCTGAACAAGGACACAACCCAGCTACCCAAGTCCAAGCAAAACCCTGGACTCCCCGCGACTGGGCCAGACCTCCACCAGCCAGGTCAGGCATCCCAGAGGAAAATCGGACTTTCAGCTGCCGGAGCAGCCACGTGATCTACTGGGTGACTCACAGGCCGGCCACACCCCTTGCGGTCTCCCGCCAGGCCCTGCCACCAGCCAGTCAGCCAAACACTGGGATGCATCTCATTACCAAAGGGAACAGCTAACAAATACCCCTGACAGCCAAATAATTACTTTCTTTCAGCAGAGAGGACGTGCTAGAAAATAAATACAGGTACAAGAGGATGCAGGCTCCTCAGCAATCTGTCAGCTCCCCACACCCTTCCCAGACCTGCCGAGGAGGCCATGGGAAGCCAGGAAAGGAGACTCAGGTTTTAAAAAGAACACTCCCTTCTCTCAGGAAGTATTTTTTTTTCCAAAAAAATTTTATTGGGGGGGGAAACTACAAAACATTTACAGTACAATGTTTACAGTCACAATTTGTAGTGAACTGATTCCCCAAAAAATATATTACAACTCAAGTTGACTTATCTTGTTACATTCAAAAAAGAACCTACTTGTGTCAAAGTAGTCCAGAATACACACACGGTGCTCCAACTGTACCTACACATGAAACTAAGCGCCTGCTCACTCATTCGACATCCAGGAAAGCCTGGGAGGGCCATTCCTGCCTTTTTACATTGAAAAGTAATAGTACAAGTTTTGGACTGTCATGAAACAAGGCATATTCATGTCCTACCGACCTAGGACCATTTTCAGCACTGATGGCCCTCTTCACTTTATAGCTACATATATATAGCTATATGTAATATCTATATAAAAAGTGGTACAAATATCTCGTTCTGTGCAGGTGAACCCATGCGACATTCAGACTCGCTCAAGCACTAATGAAATACTTATTTGGTTGAGGAAGATTTAAGGCAAGTTCGGGCCCTATGAAGGCACTGAGACCATTATTTCCCCGTTATTGCTACATGTCTTTATACTCAATGTCACAGTAGAGCTGGTGGAATCAGCGTTTTTTTTTTTTTCTTGCTGGTTTATAAAGCTGGGACTAGACAAGCCACATGTGAGCCTCACTGCAGAGTATGTGGTCATTCTTTTTTCTCTTTAAAGCTGGGTGGGCCACAACCATTATACATTCTAAGTAAGAAAAGACTCAAAATGTTCCTCAAACTACTTTCCACAGCATCAAGATAGATTGATTTCTGTAAAGAAACCATGCAATCTTTCGAAATTTACGTAAACAAGGAAAGAAATTAATGAAATAAATATTACATACAATCTCTTAAATTAAGATTTTTTCTTACTCATTTACAATAAAATAACCAAGTGAAGTTACAAAAGGCATATATTACTGTGAAAAGAACATACACTCCACATTTTGCCGATTAATAATGGCAATTATAATTTAACATAGTAAAAGAATATATATCTATTGCTTTTCATCATACTCGATAAATACAGTATGAACAAACATCCTCAATGTATACTTTTCACAAGATAATAAATAAGTTAAATAGGTTTTTTTCATATTGAGTTGTGGTGCAAATCAACTCAAAACAGCTAAAAATGAAGCACTTATTTCCCAACAATTATGAACTGAGCTCCGCTCAAGGCTTCCAGAGAGCAGAGGGAATGGTTCTAAGCTAAACACCCACTAAATGGTGGCAATGAGACCAGTATCAAACTTTGGAATGCAAGGGTCCCCCCACTCCCCAAACATATATAACTTCGTTAAACAACAAAAACAACCCCGACAAACCGGACTGAAGGCTACTCGTTTCAAGGCATGTTCTTGGCATTACACTGAACTCTAGAAGCTTATTCAGGGGAGGCGGCAGCCGGCTGGCTCACTCTGATCTGAGATAAGTTAGGAACCCCCTTCCAAGGTAAGAGTTCTCACATCTGGACTGTAACTAAGGCTTTCAAGTGAAAGAAGAGATGGAATGGTGGTTTTAGCTGCTAGTGCTGGGCTGATTTTTTTTTTTCTTTATAAACTAGAGTTTCAAAACTCATCCGAGACCTAAACAAGTGTTTGGTATCTTTTGTTCTTTCGCATCACAACCGCCTGTTGTGACCATTTTGTTCATCCTTACAAAAAGTTCGTTGGCTTTTATTTCAACAAGAACGAAACTTTGTAATAATAATAAAAATAATAATAATAAAAAAAAACCAAACCGAAAGGGAAGGGGCGGGGCCCCCTCCCAGCAGAGTTCGAGTCCAAGTGCTCTGCGGCAGGGGCCTGCGGCAGTGTCACCCCTCCTCCCCGGTGCCCCCCGCGGCCTCTCCCAACCCCTCGCGGGCGCCCCCTTGCCTCAGTCGTCGGAGATGGAGAGGCGGCTGAAGATGGGCAGGCGGCGGCCGGGGTCCAGGCTGGGGGACTCGGAGCCGCTGAGGCTGCCCGAGCTCAGCGAGCCGCTCAGGTAGCTGTCGCGGTCCGACAGCGAGTCCGGGGGGCTGGGGGGCGCATCGAACACGGGCGACTCGGACAGACGGCGCGGCAGCTGGAAGCCGAAGGGCGGCGAGGGCGGCGCGGGGGCCGCGGGCGGTGGCGCAGAGGGCGCGGGCCCCGCCAGGCCCTGCTGCTGGCTGCGGTAGTAGGCGGCGGCCGCGGCGGCGAAGCTGTGGGTCTGGATGGCGAGCGGCGTGATGAGGCTGCTCAGCTCCGGGCCGAAGGCGAAGGCGTTGTTGGCGCACGAGGTGGCCGAGCAGGTGGCGCACGGGGCTCCGGGGGGCAGCAGGTCCTCCGCGCTCCCGGGACCGTAGAGCAGCGCGGCCGCCGCCGCAGCCGCCGCCGAGGCGCAGCACGTCGGGGCGCCCGAGGGCGTGGATGCCGCCGACGTGGAGGAGCAGGAAGAGGCGGAGGACGAACAGGATGAGGCCGAGGAGCAGGAGGGCGGCGGCGGCGTGCGCGACGTGGGGCTGTCGATCAGCAGCGGCGACTCCAGACCTCCCGGGGGCTGGTGGTGACCTGACGGGAAGCCCGAGAAACTGAGGCTGTGATGCAGCTTGGGCCGCGGCTCCCGGGCAAAGCCCAGGTGCAGCGCGTCCCGCGCGCCAAAGGCTCGCAGGTCCCCGGAGGCGCCCCCCGATGGCGCCGGCCGCCGCTCGTCCGCGTTGTGGATGAAGTGGCAGCGCGGGCCGTAGGGGCAGAAGCCGATGGTGTGGAAGGTGCGGCACAGCTCCGTCTTGTACTTGGGGTGCCGAGTGAGGCTGCGCAGCTCGTGGAAGCCGTGCGCGAACTGGCACTTCTCTCCGTACTTGCACGTGCCGCTCTCCTCGAAGGGTCGGCACAGCTCGGTCTTGTAGCGCGTGGAGTTGATCTGCGAGCCGCTGCCCCCCTTCTGCTGCTGCTGCTGCTGCAGGTGCAGGAGGTGCTGGCTGCGCTCGCCGTTCTCGCTGAACGAGCGGTCCCGGAATTTGCTCTCCTTGTTGACCAGCGTCGTGCCGCCGCTGCCCCCCGAAGGCTCCTTGAGCTGCCCGTAGGTGGCCGGGCCGCCCGCGCCCGCCTGGCCGCAGCTGCCGCCGTTAGGGGCGCCTGGGAACTTGGGCGAGCAGCTGCCCGGGCTGGGCGCGGCGGGGTGGGCGAGCGCGTGTAGGTTGCTGGCCGAGTGGCGTCGCAGGAAGCCCGGCGTGAAGCTCGAGCTGGGGACAGCGGCCACGGGCGTCCCCACCGCCTTCTTGTCCAGCATGTTGTTCAGATTGAGGTTGGCCAGGGATTTCTCCGTCTGCCAAAGGGAGGGGGAGCGGGGACGGGGTGAAGATCGGAAGGGGAGGAAGAGTTGGGGAAAGCTGCAGAGCGGACGCCTAGTTCCCAACAGCCCACCTTTTCTTTTTTCTCCTGCGGATTTCAATTCAGCCTCCACCGTTACATTCGCAAGAAGGAAAAAAAAAAAAACCCAGGCCGGACAGAGCGGGGGACGCCCACCCGCGCCGCGCCGGGCCCAGCCATGTGATCCCGGGCCCGTGGCCACCGGGTGGGCGGCGCAAACTGTCCGGGAAGTCCCGGCAGCGTGGCCGCGGTGGCCTCGAGAGAAGCGCAGCAGCTCCCGCCGCTACCCGCTCCCTCCCAGCTCTCCAAGCCCACAGTCGCAAGCACAGAGGGCTGCTAACTCCAGGACTTCCCTCCACCCGAAAAGTCAACTCGGAAGGGTCCCTCCCGTCCCGCCCCGGCCGGGCAGCCAAGTCTCGGAACTCCAGGGGTTCCAGGCGGCCCGCCGTCCTTCCCCGCTGGCCGGCTTACCTTGCACAAGAAGTCGATATCGTAGAAGGCGGACAGGAGTGTGGTCGACATTTTTCTCTTTTTTTTGTCTGGGTCCTGCAATGGTCGGAGCTGCAAGCGGGGAGGGTTGGGAGGAGCCTTCGGCGCGGCGTAGCGCGGCCCGGCTCGAACCAAGGCGAATAACGGGCGTACGGGCGGGGAGGGACGGAAAGTTTGCTTGCGGGGCCGCCGAGGAGGAGGCGGAGGCCGCGGCGCGGAGTTGGGGGGCAGAGGAGAAGCGAGAGCGCTGCTCGGCGCCCCGGCCCGCCCCCCGCGCGAGCCTACGGCAGCTCGCGGACTGCTGGAACTCCGAGAGCCGCGAGCGCGCGCCCTATATAGAGCCCGGGAGCCGCGCGGCGGCGGGGCAGAGCGCACCCGGGGAGGGGACTGAGCGCTGACCCGCCGGGGTCTCCAGGCAACGCCTCCCGCCGGCTCGCGGACGTCAGGCGCCTTCTCGGCCTCTCATTGGTCGCCGCCAATTTTTCCCCCCTCGGGGAGGGGGCGGGGCGGGCGTCCGGCCGGCGTGGGGAGCGTGGCCCCTTTGGGTGCTGCTGGGTGGCGGCGGCGGGAAGCTCCCGCTCTCCTGCGCCTCTGGGCCTGTAACGTTGGGGAGCGCTTTCCCGTTCTGTCTGGGCCCGGGGCCCGGCTCCCCTGGAAGTGCCTTTCGCCGCTCGGTCCTGCTAGGCCGACCGGCACAGCTTCTTCCCACCCTGGGTTTTGCACGGCGCGCGGGAATTGCAAAATGCAACAATATTGCAATGATGCGTATTGCCAGACTGGTTGGCAATGGGTGCTTGGGGCTGGGGGGGTGGGGTGAGGTGGGGCGGGCTCGCGGCCTGTCCCGTAGGTGGCGGCTCGAACCCAGCTGCACGTGGAGACGCTGTAGGGGTGGGGGCGGGAGCGGCCAGCCTGGAGGAGCGCCGGCCCGTTTCTCCGCCCCTCTCCCCGCCCAGGCTCGGTAAACAGGACTTGAGCGCTGGGGCCTGCCGGGCAGGGCTGAGTGTCTGAGGACAAGGCGCTGGCTTTGCTAATCACATCACAAGACCTTGAGCCCGGGCCAAAGGCGCGGGGTGTTCGGGGCGGGAGAGCCGGCTCGGGGAACTAGAGGGAAGTCGGGGGAGCACTGTGGACATGGAGGAAGTCACTTCCTTCACTTTTGTGTCTGCTGGTTGGCCTGGCCGTCCCAACCCTCTCAGGGTGGGGGTGCAGCTGCTGGCCAAGGCTTCCCGGCCAGCACAGCCTTAGCCTGTCTAGTCCTGCAACCTTCCGTCTTTCGCTGTGGGAGGCACCGCATCGAATCTGAGCTCTGTGCTGGCTGCCGGAGGCCGTGGTTGCTGAACCACCGCTCGGGTGGTGTGTGTCCTATTCGGTTGTTTTTGGTGCAACCCCCACTAGCTTTCGGTAGGAAATGAGCTTTCCCAAAAATTCGCCCGGCTCTTGCTGAGAGGGGGCAGACACCCCCACCTAGCGCCCAGTGAGGCTAAATCCACCGACAGCTTTTCTCGGCCGGTCAGGTCTTCTCTCGCCCCTACGCTGAGTCCATACTGGCTGCCAAAAGCTGGAGTTGGGCCCATGATTTCACCCAGCTGGCAGCCCAGGCTGCCCTGGGTGGAAAGCCCAGCAGCTGCCAGGGAAGGACGCTTGACCTACACCCGCCCCACGTTGCTCCTCCGTCTGCGTGCACCCGGTCCACTGCACCTGGGCTGCATCGGTTAACCTGGAAGGGAAGGAGGGAGGCCCGTCACTCAACAGGCTGCGGAGTTCAGCGTGTACTTGCCCACACTGCGGCGCCTGCTGCCCCTGTAGTTAGAGCCCAGGGCAGAGCTGGAGGACTTTAGGGTCACAGATGTAGTGGTATGGGTGGGTACAGTGGCTCTCGCCTATAATCTCAGCACGTGGGAGGTCGAGTTAAGTTTCAGACCAGTGTAGCTCAGCTCAGTGTGAGACCCTACCTCAATAAAGGAAAAAATATAGATTGGAGTTGAGGTTCTGTCCCGGTAAGTCGTGCGGGCTGGGCAAATCACATAGACTGTTTGGCACTTGGGCTTTCTTTTAACACAAAGATAAAATTCGCCTTTTACTCATCCCTCGGTCACCTCTGTCAAGGCACAACATATCCAAGAAGGTCTAAAAGATGAACAAAGCTCACACCGTCTTATATAGTAAAGCAAACTGGCTTTTGGCTGTGGCCAGAGCAGAGGGAGCGAGGGTCACAAAATAACGAGTATAGAGCCAGGGGTCCCCCAGATCTTAGGACCCTAAAGCTTGGAGCCGAAAAGCAAGTAGCGACTTGAGGTAAGATGGCTGCTTCACCCTTCCCGCCCATGTTGCTTTGTCCCCAAGGCAGGGCTGGGCATCTGTGACCGGAATGACCCCAAACATGAGCACGGAATCTCTGTGATTAAGGCTTTCCAGGTTCCTCTCAGGAAAGCATGGAGCAGTCATACCCCTAGCTACTAGGATTTCAGATACAAACCGGTGGAAACATCCATCCCTCCTTCTGCTCCCCCCTCCCAGGAGGGTGGCCACAGCCAGCCAAGATCCAAATCTGGGGTAATTCCCAGCCAGCAGCAGTGAGAACACCCACTGGGTAGACTTGGTAGGATGGACTTGGAGATAACATAAACATGTTCTGGTACATGCTTTGGCACCGCATGCCTGCTAGTGTGAGATAGTTTTATTGTTATGTAACTGCTTTTATTTCACTCGGTGGGAGGGGAGAGGGACGGTTGGCTCCTCCATAAGCTGGCCTTTGTTGGGCCCTGATCAGAGTTAATCTCCCACAGCTACCATCCCCTTACGCCACCAGGCCCTCTCACCAGCTAGATCTTAGACTGGAGTGGTGTGAAAGCTGGTGTGCCTGTCATCTTGCCACTGGGGAGGCGGAGGCAGGAGGATAAACACCAGTGTGAGGCCATTTTGGTGCAGACAGCAAGCTCCTGACTCGGAAAAGCAAAACCCAAAACAAACTAAAAAATGCTGGTTTTTCAATTTTTTCATCAAGGGTGGGTATGCTGGTGCCTAGCTAGGTAATTACTACCAGGTCATACAAACCACACCTGGGTGCTGAATGTTTGCAAAACCCCCTAGATTTTCTGTTCCTCAAGAGACACCATGGACGCTGCCATGTGTATCCTCTCCCTGCAGACAATTTCTCTACACTTCCTTATGGTGATGGATGGCTTTCTTCTCAGAGACCAATTCCATCTGAAACCTCCGCTTTTCTGCAGAAGGAACCGGTCTAGCAAATGCCTCCATAATCTGCCCGTTCAGTTCCCTTTACCCATCATTCTGAGTGGCCACTCGGCTGGAAAGTAGCTGAACGTATTTATAGGCCCTATGAGTTTCTTAACTATGGCAGGCACGGTCTTTGTAGATAAGTAGAAATGTGGATCAGGCCACAACACATCCAATTTGAAGGGACGTGTCTGTGGGTGACACTTACTCTGCAAGTATACATTAACAGTGGTAAGCCCGGACCTGCCATGGGATGGCTTGGCGGATCAAGGTGCTCACCATGCAAGCCTGAATCTGAGAATTGGATCCCTGGAACCATGGAAAGGGGGAAAGAGAAACCTGACCCTGAAGCTGTCCTCTGACTTCCACAGACACATGCTGAGGCATGGGTGGCGGCCCATCACACACAGGTGCTGATAATAGTGTAAAGTAAGTTTTAAGTTGTGAGCTGAAGAACTAGACTAGCAGCATAATGTGTGCAACAGTGCCACCTGCTGGGTACCCGAGGAAGCCTGCTGGTGGGCGTGGAACAGAGAAAAACCCTTACTAAGTATGTTTATTAACATCCGAAATGAGAATCGTTTTGTTGCTTCCATCAACCACAGGAAAGTAAACAGTGTAGGCATCAAATGAATGAAGCATTTGTTCAGGCTTCTCTTTCCCCCAGGTCCTTCAAATACTGAAGCAAACAACGGGCAACAGCCAGGCCTCCTAGCCTTCACTGGCATTTCTGGGGGAAACAGGGAGACAGGAGGGACTCTTAATACAGACTGCTGAAGCACTTGTACGTGTAGATGATGAAACACACATATTTGCATGGGGTGGATTAATTCTCCCAGAATGGTGGATGAATTTCTCCTTTGCTAAATGGAATAAAGTTTAGAACTATGACCAGATAGGCTGTTTGCTTAGTAATCCAGCTCCTAGACAGAGCTCAAACCAAAGAGCAGTGTATGTACGTGTGTGGAACTTGTGTGTGCTGAAACTTGGCTCACTACAGTCAGTGTGGGGATAAACTCTGGCGGGACTGGCAGTTCTTCAGGAGAGAAAAGGCTACTTCAGGCCTGCAGGTGGCCTGCACCTGGGAACAGGGTAAATATTCAACATCATAGCCACATTTCCTACTGGGCTGCCTGTGAGTGCACTGTAGGAAGACAGAAGCCTAGGCTCCCAGAGTGTATGTCCCACACATTTCTTGGAGGCCTGAGTGGGGGAGAGAATCCACCCCGTCCCAGCCTTCTTTCAGCACGCTGCTTCTGTCCTTGGGGCCATCAACTGTCTCCATTCCCTGGGACAGTCTTCGGCTCTGAGAGCTTCCTTGCCTTCCAGGAAGGCCAGCAGCCTCAGGACGGCCAGAGACCTTTCCTCCTGAATGCGCAGCCTCGTGTACTCCACCGTCTTTAGAAATTCAGCCGAGAGCGGGAGCTCTCTGAAGAGCCTAGAGATCAGGTGATGCTGCTCCGATGCTATCATCTGCAGGTGACAGAGCTTCTGGGAGTGAGGGGCGGGCCGGTCAGACTGATGGAGCAGATAGAACAGCTGCCTACACAGGTATTTCACGAAGGTCAGGGTCTCAGCCCAAAAGTTGACTTCTGATTTTTCGAATACATAGTCGTCTTCTCCCTACATCAAATGACAACCACCCACAGTGAACCTTGTAGGGAGCGCTCACCACATAGGGCCCTGCTAGATGAGAGCTGTGTCTCCTCCAAAGCTGAGAGAACCCACTGAGCCTGTTGATACCCCGTGTCCACCGCCTGCAGGTCTGGAGGTCACCTTCAACTTTCACTCTCTGCTCTGCTCCCAGACGGAACATGACCTGACAGACATTTGTGAGTAGCTCAAAGCCAAGGTATTTTGGGGAACTAAGGTGAGAAGAG